AAGGCGAGAGCTTCGGAGAGGCATTGATATCTTTCGTTTTCGCTTTAATTCTTAGCGCAGTTTACTTCTGGTTGATATTCTAGCATTGGCGGAAGTAATGAATTCGTCTATAGACGGTTTAGTTTAAGCTGACTCGGGCACTGTCGGCTGTAGCTACAATCGTGTAGCTACAAACAGGGACGTGGTGTTCCATTCGGTATGTAGGGATGTAGGGCACCGAACCAAGTCTTCATTTTTGGGCCAGAACGTACGGTTTTCGAGATATTCCAAAAATTACCTTACTTCAAATACCTTTGAGTGGCATGAGTGCTCTGTCGAGAAGTTCACGAGCTCAAGAACTCTAGAGAGAAAGTGAGCTACCCCCCTTTTTAACAAATAAGGAGTTTGTAGTGTCTGCATGGGCTATGGGGCTCTTGAAAAATGAGAATAACTAAATGTCTTTTTTATAACAGTTTGTTTTATTGCAAATTTAACAGGACAGGCCACTGTCCTTTTTCAGCATTTCATTGTTTCACCATAAAACTAAAGCTGTTTTGTACTGTCATCCATAAAAAGCAGCTTTAATACTTGAGAAGACACATAAAACTTTACAACTTGAATAACATAGAGTCAAAATACAGGGTGTTGTACCCCTGTAATTATTTACAACAAGTGCATCTAGATTCTTTCCTCTGCTCTTGCCTTCATTCTTGAAATAAAAGCTTGACCCTTATTTTTTCTGAAGTTTTCATATGGGTCATTTAAATTTACTCCAACTCCCTTGTACATATCATTTCTGTCACGAATCTGAAATGACACAAAATTCCATTAGTGGTAAGGTAGAAAAAATCTTTTTAAACAGTTAGACAAAAATTAAATAAAAATAATAAACAAGTCTCTAGCACATCTCCTTCTAGTGGAACAGACAGACAGACACACAGACAGACACACACGAGGTCGTTTGCATAAGCCCGCTGGATAGCTTTTTCAAAGCAGAAGGGCGGGCTAAAAAGAGGTAAGTTAAATGACACTGTATCAAATATGTTTGATGTACTTTATAAGGAAGAGACCTTATTCATTACTTGTGCTGGTATGGTGTAAGCAGTATGATTCAGCTCACTTTGCAATTTCTTAATATAACTTGCACTATTTTTTTTTTCTTATTTTAGTCCTAAAGTGACCAAATACATATATGAGCATTCCCACAGTTACAAACGGTTACAAAGCATGCCACCATTCAGATATGACAGTAAAAGAGCAGACTACTAGTTTGATCATGTAAATGGTTATGTGTATTACAGTTTTTTAAGCTAACTAGCACCATACCAAGCATAAAAATTGTTATTTCATCTTCACGTAGAGAAGTAAAGTGAGGATGAAGGTCGAAAAACAATATGAACTTACCTCGCCTCCTGATATAGGCTGTTCTATACCCTGTTCTTTTGCACCAAGACCAGCACCACCCCAACCCATCTTCTTGAGCATTTGATGTCCTTTGTTTGATTCATCCAATCGCTCAGTTGCAGTCTTCGCATATGTTGAACCACTATAGAAACACAAATGTTTCTTATTAGATTAGATAACTCTAACAGTAACATGATAACTCAATGTTATAGAACTAAAAATCTGAATAAAATATATAAAGTTAAATGACACATACAGAAATGAAGGAGGAGTGGGGCTTCTCTCTCGTTCTAAGCTGTGTTTTGGAGGACTCCTTGATCTTGACCGTGAGCTAGACCGAGACCGTGACCGTGAGCAAGATCTTGATTGTGATCTTGATCTCGATCTTGAGCGCCTAAATGATGCTTTTGTTTGTCTTCGCATTGCTGAAATAGGAGATCGTCTACCATTGCTAGCACCACTACTTAATTCATTTGTACTGCTTCGAATGGGACTTCTTGAAGGAGATCTTGACCTCCCCTTCTCTTTTGATTTTTCTTTTGTTTTATCATTTTCAGGAGATACACT